AGGGAAAGAGGGAGGACTATTAGCTCCCATGACTGATGATGTCGATAGAAAGAATAGCAAGACAGCAGGCAGGCAACAGAGGAGACAGGCTTGGGGAGGAAAGTGCTGGCTGGGTACAGGAGAGGAAGGGGATAAAATGAAGGGGAAGGAAAGAAAAAAGTCAAGAAGAACAGGGATGTAATGGGCAGCAAGTAAAGAGCAAGAAAACATGATGCACACGAGAGAAATAATTGGAAGACAAGGTAAAAAGTAGTAAGCTGATCTGCAGACATACAAGGAGAAGATTGAAGGGTACAGAAACTCTTATAAAACCAACCAAAGTCAATGTGAAAAATCAGGTCCACATATGACAGGTCCAATTAAACTCATTAATTGCTACACAGGTCCAATTAAACTGATTTATTGCTACACCCAGGCATAGGATCTTCTCAATTAATATATTAGCACCTGCTTAGAGTTAGTTTAGGATCAATGGAATCCAAGGGAGGTTGGACTTAATTTGCTTGAGACTATGTAGGGATTACTGATCCCTCTTTTACCTTGACCCACAGGTTCTGCCACTCCTTCTCCTACAACCAACCAATCAAGATATTTTAGCTCTATTTAAGTTCCTGCACAGAGTCTCAAAGCTGGGCTGATCAGGAAATAGCAATAGCAGTAGCACTCAGACTTATATATCACTTCATAGTGCTTCACAGCCCTCTCTAAGTGATTTACAGAGTCAGCATATTGCCCTCAACAACCTGGGCCCTCATTTTACTGAGCTTGGAAAGAATGGAACCCTGAATCAACCTTGATCTGATTAAACTGCTGGCAGCTGAATTACCCTGCAATGCTGCATTCTAACCACTGACGTCACTAGGGCTCACTACAGATATCTAAATCAACCTTGGATTTGAGTCATTCTGATGTTTCCATTTCCACCAAGATTTTTTTTTTTAATCAGAACCAGCTGAAGACAGCATCCATAGTTGACCCCTTTGCCATATTTTGTCCTAGATGAGTACTTCTGCACTGGCTGTATCATTTTATTTTATATAATGGCGTATTTTCTGATTCTAAGGATTGGTTAAGCTTTAATCTGTAGCCAGATTTTACTTATTTATTAGATTTATATGATCACCATTCTTACCAAACATGACCCTATTTTTATTTATTTGGTTTATTTGATTTGTCAATCGCTTACAAAATAATAGGTATAAGTATAAACATGAGTAAGAATGCAGAAAATAGGTATGATTAAATGGGGAGGATAGGACAGGGACGGGAGGCACGATGGTGCACTTATGCACGCCCCTTTGCATGTGTTCTTTCGGACTGGTCATTTGTTATTTCCAGGCCGGCCCTGTGGGCCAGATTTAAGCACCCCCGCACACCAGATCCATCCCTCATGCCTTCAGTTTGACACCCCGATCTATAAGTTTGAGCCTTGTGGTTGCACACTGGGACCAAGTGCCACTTGGTCACAGTTTTAAATAAACTTATTTGCCATCTATGCATTGTTCAGAATTACTTCTTAAGAATGTGCTGGTGCATGTTTTAGAGTACATAGAAAGCCATGCCATTCTGTAGGATGATTTGCATACCCTCTCTTCCTAAAAAGGTGACTTTTATATGCATTCTTCTCTCTAATACTTATTTTAATTTTTCCCAGATATTGCCCTGAATATGAAGTCAATAACTATTTTCAGTTTTTTCACAAAAGCATCCATGGTTTGTCCACTGGAGGGAGCCATTGTATAACTAAAAAAGAAAGAAGCATGCAATGTAATTGGGGTAAAAAAGTGTAGTAGCATAGTAGCTGATTTTGCAAGGCTTACTCTGCTGCTTCAAGAGCTATCCTTGACTAGCTTTGTATTTTATTGATTTATTTGATTTGTCAATCACTTACAAGATAATAGGTATAAGTATAAACATGAGTATTACCTCCTGTATTCTTATACAGGAAATAGGTACGAATAAATGGGGATAATAGGACAGGGATAGTAGGCACGATCGTGCACTTATGTATGCCCCTTACAGACCGCTTAGGAATGGGGTGAGGTCAATAGTGGTTAGTTTGAGGTTAAAGGAATGGGGGGGTTAGAGGATGTAACAACAGAGTCAGGTAGTGATATTCCAGGCATTGACCACTCTGTTGCTGAAGTCGTACTTTCTGCAATCGAGTTTGGAGCAGTTTAACATCGAGTTTGTATCTGTTGTGTACTCTTGTATTGTTGCGGTTGAAGCTGAAGTAGTCATTGACTGGTAGGACATTGTAGCCGATAATTTTGTGTACTACGCTTAAGTCCAACCAGTTCAAGGTTTTCCAAGGCCAGAATCTCAAGCCTGGTGATATAGGGCATCCTGTTGCAAGCAGAGGAGTGTAGTACTCTTCTCATGAAATACTTCTGGGCATTCATAGCCTCTTTGCTTCTCTTGGGATCCAGGCAAAAGCGCTCTATCTCTATATATAACTTTGCATGGTGGAGCTGAACTCAGGGGAAGTTTTAGTGTTTTATTAAGAAACACTGGTAAGAAGGCAGCCGGGCTGTAAGGAGCAGCCAAGAACTTTCCTAGCAAACATTTGCCCAGACTGAAAAATAAGAGGTCCTAGAACAGGTGCCAGAAGGTGATTGGATTCTTCTGGGTTTTGGCATTAGCCAAGAACAGTCTGCCCAATTATTGTTGCTGCAAATATATGCAATTGCAAGCATAGAAAGGAATATGCATTGGTTATTTTTGCAGTCATGCAGGTGGAATGCATATGATATAGCGAGATAGATTGATCCAAAGGTGTTTCCCAATAGTTACTAGCTTGTTGTTACTGTTTTCTTTACCCTATTTCCACCCCAGGAAGAATGGCCCAACCTGGTGTGTTTTAGACTAGAAAATAGTGGCTTCTGGGATTTTGTGTTAGGATTGCCACATAAAACTTTGTGGCAGAAGAAGCGAAATAATTAATGGACAGTATCAGAGCCCCAATGCTTGATGACTAAGCAAAGCTTTGCTTGATGACAAAACAAAAAGTTGGTCACAGATTTTCCCACTCAATGTTATTCTTTCTCTCTCTCTCTCTCTCTCTCTCTCTCTCATCTGTCTGTCTGTCTGTCTGTCTGTCTGTCTCTCTCTCTCCCTCTCTCTGTTTCGCTATCTATCATCTATCTATCTACCAACTACCATCTCCCTATTATCTTCTTTCTTTCCTCCCTCCCTCCCTCCCTCCTTCCTTCCTTCTTTCTTTCTTTCTTTCTTTCTTTCTTTCTTTCTTTCTTTCTTTCTTTCTTTCTCCATCCCTCCCTCTGTCCCTCCTTCCCTGTTTCTCTCTCCCTCCTTCACTCTCTGTTTCTCTCTCCCTCCTTCACTCTCTCTCTCTCTCTCTCTCCACCCCTCCATCTCCCTCTCCTCCCCTTCTCTCTCTCTCCCCCCACCCCTCATATTTATATAGCCACTCAACTCACATCCAATGACTCCAGGTGGAATACGACATTAAACATTGCAAAAATATAACCAGACAATCCATTTGATAGTTTCCAAATGGGGTCCCCAAGCTCACTGAAAAAAACCCCACGTCTTTAAGGCCTTGAGGGAGAGCAACAAGGTGGGAGAGCAATCTTATCTCTGAGGGAATGATCTTCCAAAGGGAGGGGGCCACTACAGAGAAGGCCTTTTTCTCTATGTCCCACCAGATGTACTTCGTTGATAGCTGGGACCTGCAATATACCCTTCTTTCCTCCTCTGGAGGGCTGGGCATTGTGGGGTAGGCAGTCCTTCAAATAACCTGTCCACAAACCATGTAGGCCCTTAAAGGTAATAACCAGCAACATGAATGTTCAGAACTTGCCTTGCAGCATAATGTCATCTTTTCCATTCAGAGGCATGAAAGTCTCAACTTAGCCAAGCTGAGATGTATCATTATTATTATTATTTTTATAAATTTATTAATTCAGTGTTTTAACAATTAAAAACAAATTTCCACACATTGCAACATTACTAAAACAGTGTTTACATTTTTAAAGTATCTTCTATTAACGTGTTATACATCTCTGTATTTGCTTCTTTGTCATTCTAGGAATTTTATGCAAATATACATTTTTTTTTGACATTTATTTACATGTAGACCTTATTGTTCTATACAGGGGTGGTATTCAAACATTTTAAGAACCGGTTCTGTGGGTGTGGCTTAGGTGGTCATGTGACTGGGTGGGCATGGCTTGGTAGTCATGTTATTGGCTGGGTGTGGCCAACTTAATATCACTCACATTGAGGCACGCATCTCCTTGCCTGGCCTCTCATGACTGTGGGGGTGCTGAAACAGTCGTAAGTGTGAAAAATGGTTATAAGTCACTTTTTTCAGTGTCATTGTAACTGTGAATGGTCACTCCACACAAGCAAAGAACCAGCAAAGGAGGAAAAAAAAACTCCAGAGAAGTTCCTGAGACAGGAAGTCTAGTCCTGCCAAGAATGTAATAAGAGTTAATGGAGAGGCAGTTTCTGTAAGCAACACCAGAATGTTTCCTTCCTGCCTTCCTTACAGGATTAGGCCAGTAATTTCTTCTAACAACCAGTTCTCCGAACTGCTTAGAATGTTAACAACTGGTTCTAGTGAATAGGTGCGAACTGGTAGAATCCCGCCTCTGGCTTTATAGTATTACATAGATTGTCGTTTGACGCCTTCATGTCATTTTCTTATCCATTCATACCAAACATCCCATATTTTATAATATTCTCTTTCTTTCTTATCCTTCAATAGCTTCATTAATCTATCAATCTCTGCGCATTCATATATTCATATACTGGGCATTGTACTTGAAATGCCAGTAAGGTTATTTTTCCAAAATGGAAGGGGAATCTGACTAGGACAAAATTAGGACATTAATTGATATAAACATTAGGTTAATCAATGTCATGGAACAAGATCCATATAATCTCTGCTCTTTATAGAAGCTACTTGGTGCCATTTGGCTTCCTTAATGACAAAAACTTCTTTCTCTTCCTCTTTCCAGCAATGCTACTCCTGGAGAACACCAGAGTAGAATCCAGGTAAGAAAGAGAAATCAAGCAAATGTTTATCTACTGAAAAGAAACTCCTGTTAAATTAGATGGCATTTTTCTGCAAATAGAGATAGTTATGTATCATGCATCCAATATCCTTAACCTACACTGGATTTCACTTCCATAATTTTGAATGATAGAACCCGTATTTGCTAACAAAATGGAAACATAATTTTAGTGCTGCTACTCATAATTTAGTAAATGTGCCAAATCTTTGACAATTTCTAAGGAATGCTGCTCTAGGCTCTAAGGGTATGAATGAATCCCACTGGAGTGATTTAAAAAAAAAAATTACGATTAGGTATATGGAATCACAGTATAATAATTTATCTTAGTTTTGGGAATTGTGCTAAAATTACTAAGTTAACTGAGTTAATTGATGTCATTGTTGGTCATTTGGAACTTCATGCATTTGATTATACCCCCAAACTGGGATATTGATCACCCTCAGAAAGGAAACTATTATTCTCAAAGTTGCCTTTAGTCAGAACAGGAATCCAGACAATTAGAAAGTGGCCAAGTATGATAATTTTCAGTGTCTCTCTCTGCTGCCATCGAATGGTTATCTGCATTATTACTGGCCAGATTTGATAGCACTGTACTTATTTTGTTTTTAAAGGTATTCAGTGCATTTGATGAAAATGAGGACGATTGCTTTGACTTCACCACTACTCTTGTTTAACTCATCCCTTCCCCCAATAATGCTTCTTTTTAAATGTGGCTATTGGCTAACTACAAGCCTGTTCATCTTCCTTCTTCAGCAAATGTTTCCTACAGGGCAGATGATCCAGGGCTTCTCTTCACTGTCTTTCTTTTATGCCAGGATTCTCAAAGGTGCTGCCTGGCCTTTCAAGCCGGGGATCTCTGTCTAGATTACAAAATGGCTTCCGATGACATGGCAGACAGCACTAACAAGACCAGTTCCAGGTGAGCCTGAAGCTTGTTTGTGGATGGCTTGGCCTTGGCCTGAATAAAAGGATAAACATCTTTTACCATATGTAAGTGGAGACTATTGGCCAAGGATGCAGTCAAGATCTTATAGATCTTTTTGTGATAGAATGTAGCAAAGAGGTATCCCAAAGGTGCTTTTTTCAAGAGACAACTGGACCTTCTGGTGTTTTTTTTTTCTTTTTCTGTGAAGGTATTTCATTTCTCATCCAAGAAGCTTCTTCAGCTCTGACTGGGTGGTGGGAAATGGAAGGATTTATATTCCTTGCAGACAGCTGGTTATTTGCATTCTTTTAGAGAGTCATTGAGGCCACCTGGAGGTTTATCTGTGTCATCAGGGTCACTTGAATAGTGCAAATGGGTGTGTAGCCTTCTTGGAATTGTTGAAAGGACTGTGTTGTAGACTGGAGATAGATGATGTCGTATCCTTCCTTTTTTGTCCATTTGCATTACTCAGATGACCCTGATGACACAGATAAATCTCCAGGTGGCCTCAATGACTCTCTAAAATAATTAAAATAATAAAAATAATAAAAATAAAATAATTCAAATGACCAGTGCCTGCAGGGAGTATAAATCCTTCAATTTCTCACCATTCAGTCAGAGCTGAGGAAGTTTCTTAGATGAGAAGCAAAATGTCTTCAAAGAAAAGCCAAAAAAAGTCCAGTTGCCTCTTGAAAAAAACACCTTTGGGACAACCATGACCTGGATAACTGAGAATCTCCATAGACATTTAGTGGGGAGGTGGATCCCCAGAGGGGAGGATCCTGCATTCCAGGAGACTAAGAGACACTCAGTCCAGATATTTGGTGTGAGAGAAAGAGGGTGAAGACAGCCCCTCCCTAATGGTATCAAAGTAAATGGTAGATGCAGATAGCAGTGCTTAGTGTGGCAAGTTTGGTGACAGGCCCCCAAACCACTGCTTCATTCTTCCAAGCAAAGTGTTTATTGTGTCCACACTTATCAACTGAATCTTATCAGACAAAGCATTCTACTATGTGAACTTTTAGGGAGGGGCTGTCTTCACCCTCTTTCTCTCACACCAAATATTGGACTGAGTTGTCTCTTATTCCCCTGGAAAGCACCCCCTTCCCATCCTGGGATCTGCTTCCTCACCACATTCCATCTCTTCTTCTTCTTTGACAAGCACATATCGCAACCTATTGTAAGGATACAATTGGGAGAAATAAAGCTTGTGTAAGACTGCCAATGTGGTGCAGTGGTTGAGGTGTTGGCGTGGGACTGGGAAGAATCTGATTCAAGTCCAACCTCATCTATGGATGCTTACTTAGTGATTTTGTGGAAGCAATGCCCTTCCAGATGAAATAATTTCTGGGAGGGGTTCTTGTTGTGGAGATAAACTGAAGGAAAGAGCACTAAAATAATAATAATAATAATAATAATAATAATAATAATAATAATAATAATAATAATAATAATAATA